CAATATTCGAAAGGAAAATATGAGTACTTCCTGGAGGACGCAAAAAATGCCATGTACTAAGTGCCGACTGCAGAAACCATCGTTCTAACTGGTGATTTCAATGCGCACGTCCGAGCAGACAGTGGACAGTGGTAAGGAGTATTTGGAAAAAACGGCTCTAGCAACCTCAGCATCAGCGCCATGAGGTTGTCGTAATCTTGTGCAAACAAAGAACTGTCTGTTACGAACATCTGGAGGCGCTTAAACATGCATTAATATAACTGCTAGAGGAAAGTTTGTGTGGAGAAGTCGATGATCGATTTAATAGTCGAGCCGTCGAACTTAGAACGCCCTCAATGGATGTTCATGTCAAAAGAAACGCAGAGTTGTCAATCGATTGCAACCTACTTGTTGACACCCTCTGTTGTAAACGATGGTTCTCTGCGAACTGGTGGCAGAACCAACCAGAGAATCAAATGTCATCTTCTGCGGATATGAGGGTAAGACTTGGAAACAACAGCGTATGAGAGTTTGAACAGATCGCAGTGATGGCCGCTGATGTGGAAACATGGCGGTGGCTCGTTACGAGCAGCTTCCCTGTAGATGCCCCTGAATCTGTGGTTTAAAACGGTCGCGCCACCTGGAAGTCAGAAACGAACTTCCTGGTAGACACGATGGGTTCAACTGCCTGCCAGCGAAAACAAGCCTGCGTTGAAGAGATGGCTTGGAAACGAAGAGTCTTCAACTCGTATTCATTAGCGAAAGTTGATTTCTGGGAAATCAAATTTCTAGACGGCGAACAGAGTATTCTGGCAAATTAGCAACCGAATTCGAGATGGAAAGAAGGACCTGAGATTGATGACAAGTCTGGACATCCTCCCAAAAATGAGGACATTCTTCGGCGATAGAGAGAGTATTTCGTGGAAGTCCTGAACTTCGAGCCACCGCAGGAAGACGCACCTGAACAGCAGTATGCAATGAATGTTAGTCTTTCAAGAGATGGAGTAGCAGAAGCTATAATATGTTCTAAAAATGGCAAAGCTGTTGGAATCAATGAAATCCACCTTGAAATGCGTTAAGCTTTAGGCGAGCAATGGCTGCATAAAGACACTAGTGGACTGGAAAACGGCGATCTTAGTACCACTGTTCAAGAAAGGAGACCAAAGAAAGTGCACCAGTTATCGATCATTTCCTTATTCAGGCTCCCAGGAAAGGTCTGCGCAAATATGTTAGAAATCAGGAACGGCCGAATGGCTGACTCTAAGACACGGAAAGAGCAGCATGGGTTCAGGTAAAGCTGAAGTATCTCTGTCAGATCTTCGCTCTACGCTTGGTTGTCAAGATATTGTGGGATTTCGCTCATCCGGTTTACATGGGCTTTGTGGACCTGGATAAAGCTTATGACCGAATCCCGCGCAAAGAGCTATGGGTGTGCCTGCTAGATTTTTGTAGAAAGTGCTACTCATTTTTCAGCCAAAATATTTGATAGGTTTCGGAAGGCAGTCGATGCTAGGGCGATCCTGCCACTTACTTCTGGCTGGATGGTGCCATTGCTGAAGATAATAGAGTTGATGTCTGACGATAAGCCAAATTTCTGAAGCGCTTCACCTCCTTGTTTCACTCATATATTAGTAGCGTTGAATAAGTTCCTCACAACGCTTGAATTCCCGGCGTTGAGGAATGGGTTGAGTTCCGCATCTGGATTGCCGAAGCCGCGATGACAGAGTCTGCAATTCGCACTACTCATTAGGGCAATATCACCTGTGCGCTCCAGGTCAACATGGTGTCCAACTGGTTATTTGAACTTCACTCTAGATTGAGGTTTCAGCTTTGCCGTGGCCCGTATTATTTCAGAGAAGATAGTCGAAAACAATGGTGAATAGCAAGGACGAAAGCGTATTTCCCTAGATCTGTCTGTTCCAAGCAGGAAATAGTGATTGAAGGTTCAGATTATTTTCCGTATTGCCTTATATCTCCCAGAGCCCATGGACCAAATTCTTCCTGGGACAGCCTTCTCAACTGGTGTATGATATCCTCTTTAAACCTGACATAGCGTGAATCATTTGGCGGACCGAAAGCGAGCACGGGGGGGGAGGGATGCAGTCGTAGTTTGCATACGGCATTCGTCTCATGCTGCAGAAAGATCGGTCAAATGTTAAATCAATAGTATTGCTAATGCGGCATTAATCACACAGTTGTACTGAGTCAAAGATGAGCGTTTATCGAATCCTGCGGAAAGGTTTTAATACGTCATTTGGTCGCGCTGTGTAACAGAAACAGTATATACGCGAACAGCTATGTTTCCACCGTTCTACTTCCAGGGGGGTCGCTTGACAAACTTTGTCGTAAAACATCTTCGTTTCTTCGACGCTGGACATAAAACCCAGCCGCCAAAAACATAACGAAGTCTTGTAGTTTTCTATGCTAACAGATGTGAACGGCGTTAAATACTTTCCAATAAATTCTAAAAATAATAATTTTGATTAATTGGAAGTCCTGTTCGCTTGCCTGTTCAGCAACAGCGTTCCAAAGG